TCTTACTTGTAATTTCTTCAATTACATTCAACTACAAAGATTAGTTTTATTTCCATGATTTGACAGTTGAAGATCATATATCGGTAATTAAGGACCACAAAACGTGAAATATATACATAACGTGATATATATACAGAATTAAAAACAAATTTCTTGAAGTTTTAAAATTAAAACAAATTTCAAATAAATATCAAAATATAAATAATGTATGTACATATATATATTTAATAGATCAATAAAACACTATTCTATCTTAAGAAGAATTAAAGAAATAAAATTGTTTTTAACAAAATGTAGTTTTCGAATTTTCTTATATGATATTCTTATCTACAGTTATATGCCTAATAGAATTATCTAAAATGTTACTTAACAAATTATTAAGTGTAATTTTCGTGCTATTTTATTAAATAAATCCCTACCATTGATACTTGTCAATATAGTTCTCTAAACAATACTACATACTATATACTACTGTGTATTTGTTTTTAAATTTTTCTTTTAATTACATTCAAAGTCTCTGAGAAGAGAGATCTTGTCTCACTACTGATCAGGCTCCAACAAGCCCCTACGATCATATACTGGTAGAAACTTTTTAACAATTCTTTCACTGAATTCAGTATCATAGCAGCTGTCCTTAAATTTTACAGCGCGTTCATCTTCCAACATGAGAGCATTGAAATCAGCATCATGAGTATCCTCATTCCTTTGTACAGCCTGTAAAATACAGGATGCGCAAAATGCTAAAAAAAAATGAAAATTATATAATAGTTACAAACCATAAAAAATTTTTAAATTTAAATAAAATATATTTTCATATATTTAAAATATAATATAATATATTATAAAATTTAATATAATATATTATAATATAATAATATATGTCATGTTTGTATATCTATAGAAAACATTTTTAATTTACACAAAATAAAATTGATGCCCCAGCTGAGTAAGCATAAATAATTATTTATCTTATTTTTTATAATTAATTAAAGCATATACAGTCATACTCACCATAAAAAGCTTTTTCTTCTAACTCCATATGGAAGCTGTGTAAACTTGGTATCTTAGCTTTGTAACGCAACTTTGTTAATGTATCCGCCAGAATTTCGTAATAATATTGTATGAGTTCATCTTCCACAGCTAATTGTAACTCTTCGTTCAATGATGTATTAAAGAAATAAAATAAATCAATTGCTGGTGAACCCCAAGCTGAGTATTGAAAATCAATTATAACTGCATCTAAAGGCTTGCCACTTTCGTTATCATATTTTACCATCACATTATTGGTCCAGATATCACCATGTGCCAAGACATTCAGCCTACCTTCAAGTGGATCAAATACGCGTTTCGCTAATTCCATATACATTGGCCTCAGTTTTTCTATCTTTTGTGCATAATGCTCGTAGCCCGGCCATTGACGAAGTCGTCTACCCATCGCCTCTAACAATCCCACAAAGCAAGGTGCATAATTGTCTGTATGACGATTATACATGCCGCGGTCGTAATGTTCTAAAGATCTAGGTTCACGTTCATTCAACACAGCACTGGCAGCATGCATTTTAGCCAATTTTTTTAGCACCATTTTTGATAAATTCTTATCCAAACCTTGCAAGCGATCTGGATTGGTAAAGCCACGCATAGTGAGATCCTCAAAAATAAGTGCTGATTTCCTATAATCCACATTCATTGTTGCAGCAAATATTTGCTCATTATCACCAATTTCACGTAGCAACGCGTTCAGTTTGGGTAGCACACTTTCATAGATGGACATCTCACAGTTGAAGATATCATAGGGTTCCATGATTTGTAGTGCCAATTCATCGCCTTCGAAACTTGTTTTCACGATGTAATGTCCAACTTGATGTTGGCCGGTCCCAGTGACATATTCGGCATTAATGCGCGTTAGAACGCCACCATAATTCTCACCACGTCCTAATGCTGGTGTTATATTGATATTGTTTACTTTAAGTGTGTGATCATTATAATATATACGTAAGCTTTTTTGTATATATTTTGTAGAAAGCCAAACTGGCGTATCCAATAAACTACTGCTCGTCGAAGAAGTCGACTCTCCGCGATTAAGACTGCGTATTTTCGATAGCTCCTCGGCCGTAGTCACGAAATGTGGTGCGGACATTTTGAAAGTGTGAAGCTTGTTTTATTAACTAGTTTTCTAGTTTCAAAATTAACTATTTTATAATTTATTCAGTAATTTCTCTATTTATATATGCGATTTTAAAAAAATCTCAAGTCAAACCTCTTTCGCGAAACGAAAAGTCATGCAACTACACGTGTTGGAAGCAGCTCGAAAACAAATTTCAGTCCGACTTTCGTTCGCGCTTTTATACTTCATCCCATCGCAATGCGTTGTTTGGATTTATCTAAAAATTTATGACATTGCAAAACAAGTTCTCATATTCATTTTAAATAAATTTAAAATGTTATATAGTTAATTATTTTCATTTTTCAAATCGAGAAATATTGTAAGAAATTGCGTTACAAGTGCTTAAGTCTATTAAAATTTATTTTGCTACTTTTTCTAAACACGTTTTCTAACTATTTACGAAGAAGAAAGCGGAAAGATTAATTATACGAGCTTCCACGAATTCTCAAAGTTCTTTCTGTAATAAAAATTATTAAAGTTTTATTTTAATTTGTTACTAATTAAGCATGTTTTGTATATTTTGTCGGTTATTGTTAACCAATAGAAACTAATGGGTAACGTTAACTATTATTATTCCAACTGACTTGAGTCATAGCCAAGGGTGGGACTTGAGTGGTTAAAGCCCCCTCCAAATTGAAACATTGAGCTGTACATGCACAAAAGCAATGTAGATAAATAATCATTGTCTGCAATTAAAGCCGAGTATGTATTTCGATATGGAAGCATATCAACGAACGGAGCTCATATTGAGATTTTAAAATTAGTGGAACTTATTTTAGATTTTGACCCTACTGCCAATCAGAACAAATGGCTAGAATTTACAACAGATTGAGTGGGTTTACTACAATTTCAATACGTTAAAATGCTGCTATTGAACCAGATGCACTGATTGACCAGATGAACTGATTCTTTCGATAAAAGAAAAATAATTTAAACTACTTAAATTTTTAATTTGTATACCACTCTTGAGTATATTTCTAGGAAATGACCCATAATTGACTTAATCCCCTTTCAAGTATCAATCTTTCTTCTCTAATATAATATTATAAAATAATGATGTGGAATATATACCGTTTACATCATAATGAAAATAAGAAAAAAAGTGTGAGATAGAAACTGAGAAGGAAAGAGAGAAAAAACGGATGGAGTAAGAAAACATTTTTAGATGTATAGGTATAACTTACTAACCAAGATCAACCCCAACAAGTTTTCAGTATAAAATTATTCTTTCATATGTTTATCATTATTTCTATTCTCATTATTTGCTTTTATTTACTGCTTAATAGGGTTTGAAAGTTTTCTAACAGAAGTAATTATGAGAACTTTTCTAATATCACGAAAATAGGACTCATTAGTTTTAATAGCAGATATATTTTCTAAAAGGGTTGGGAACTAGTCACCGCGTCACTGCATCCTCGAGGATTATTGTGATAGCAGATATAACTTCAGTACATAGGTCAGGTTAACTAGAATTATTTCGAATTAAAACACTAAGCAAAAACTTTCGTTCCTTAATAACACCAATATGATATTAATAGAATTGAACTACAATTCGCAATTATTGCTACATTATAAGAACATTATAGTACCCTCGAAATATTGTCGAAATATTGATGTAAATAAAAAAATTTCTTAAAAACTATAAAAACTATATAAATAAAAATATATAATCATATTTTCGAACTTCAGGCAAAGTACAAAATTAGTGTCAAATAAATTTCACATCCTTAGAAGTGCATTACTTCCTGCATTTATTCTTCGACTTCTTGGAAATTACTGAACCGTTCTTCATTAAAATTGTTGCTTATCCCTAGGAATAATTGTGAGTATAATACAACTCCCCAGCTCTGCCATCTCAAATAATTTTTCATAGATACAGCAAACTTTGCCATATTGAAAAACTATTTTTTCCTGTTCATTTAACCCATCTGATCAGAAATTCATTTAATCAAGCAATAAATATATACGTTTCACTCGGTAATGGTAGCGTTAGTCGATATCGTTTTTTTAATTTTAAAACTCATATTACACCACATTGTTTTGAAATATGTACATATGATGCGCTCAAAAAGTACCGGATTTTGTAAATAAAACACATAAATTTAAAATGTATTGCAAATTTATTTTATCTTCTTCAAAATATGCTCCTTCTGAAGCGATACACATATGCCAACGCTTAACCCAATCTTCCATACACTTTTCGTAGGCCCGTGAAGGTATGGCTTTTAGTTCCTTCAACGAATTCTCTTTTACCGATTCAATCGACTCAAAACGCTTACCACGAAGTGGCAATTTGAGTTTCGGGAACAGGAAAAAGTCGCACGGAGCGATGACAGTGGTGTCGTGGTGAAGAATCCAATTGTTGGCTTTCCACAAATCTGGCCTTTTCTTACGGATGGACTCACGCAAATGCCTCATAACACCGAGGTAATATTCTTTATTGATGGTATGACCCACTGGCAAAAATTCGTAATTCGTAACACCTCGGTAGTCGACAAAAACAGTGAGCATAACTTTAATTTTCGAGCGACTTTTGCGCGGTTTTTTGGGTTTTGGCTCGTTTTCGAAACGCCATTCGCTCGATTGTTGACTGGTTTCGACGCCATACTCATAAACCCATGTCTCATCACCTGTTATGATGCGTTTCATGAATATAGAGTCGTTTCCATGCTCAAAAATCATTTCTTCACACACGTTCTTTCGGTATTCTTTTTGCAAAAAATCAAGGTATTTCGGTACAAGTCCAGCTGCAACGCGTCTCATGTCCAATATATCATGTAGAATGTGGTGAACGGATCCATTTGAGATGTTTAAGTCATTATCAATATCCCTTTCAGTCATACGACGATCTTCCAGCACAATTTTTTTGATTTTTGCCACGTTTTCTTCGGTATTTGTTATTGATGGACAATATTCGATCACTTCATGAAAATTCCAAACAAACTCGTTGTTCAACTGAATTTTCCATAGTAAAAATCGCTAAATGCACTTGAGGTAACTTCACATTAACAGCTGCTGTAAACAAAAAAATTTTTGAAAAAGGTCTATTACTTAAGGAATAACTAACGAAATCCGGGTACTTTTTGGTATGTACAAATGATAGGAATACTAGATTAGTATCATTGTTTATTGAGAGCATATTCTCCAGAAAATCACTTATCACCTCAAAAGCAAACGACAACAAATAGCATAAATGTACCGAAATGGGTACAACTCAAGAAAGCTTATTTAAGTATTAAACTTTGAAGCACAGTATCGCCATTTTGTTCCATAATATTTCATATAAATCGTTCTTCAAAATAGCACTACCAATAACACACATCAATTCAACTAAGCAAATACTTTAGCAACTAATGCATGATTGGGTGCTTTGCAAATAACTTTTCGCAATTATTTTCTGTTCTAATGCCACATTTCTCTGAAAAAATAAAAATAAATAAAATAGATCCATTCTTACTGAAGAGCAGTTTGACAGGAAATTTCTTCCCTAAAAATCTGTTCCTTTTGTTAACCAAAGAAATCAAAGAGGAAGCGTGTCTCCGTCTAAGTTTTCCCAACTCTTACAATGAGTACTTAACGAAAGGCATAGTTTTTCTAACTAAGCCTCAATTAATAAGTTCCTTGGATCTGGTCTTATTGTTTCAAGGCCAGGTTGACTGAGATGTTTTACATGTTGTTAATGACCTTCACGTATTATTGGCTTATTACAGACATCGATTGCAGTTCAAAGTTTTTTCTCCCTGAACAGATAAACAATGTTTTGGATAAAATTTACATTTGGTTTTACTGTTTTTACTGTTTAAATTATACTTGAATATAGTAGTAGTATATGGTAGTAGTGCCTATCAAAATATGGCAGCTTTGAAGACAAATTTATTTTTCCATGGTGTGGTATATATCACCACACTTGGAAAAATTATTTCCACTGAAGCTTTTCAACTTATAATTCTCTCTTCTTCATCTTTTCAGGTTTAACAGTTCCTTTGCGATCTTATTTGAGTGCTGTAGTAAATTTTAATCTATAAGGAACTGAGATAAAATCCTCAAAACTGACTCTAACCAACATATACGAAGGAAACAAAATTCAAATTCAAATTGATCATTTTTAAAATTGGCTTTCTTCTCAATGTTGATCACACATCAAAACTATATATATTTTATATATTTATATATATATATTCATATATGATTATTAAATTTCTGATTCGTTATATTTTTTTTAACCCCTTTGCAAAAATTTTTCTGAATTCTCAACGCAATCTGAACTCTTTTTATAACCGCAGCTACCAATTTTCGATATTACATACTATTGATAAAAACAAATTTATATATAAAACTTTAAGCTTTCTTAATTAGATATATATTCACCTTCCAGTTGAATGTAATTAAAATAACTTTATTACTTAATAAACCTAGTGTAGACAAACGGGTACGGAAATGTCACGTACGCAGAAAAGTTTGAGAAGCTATTAGCTAATAACCGATCTGAATAGATAAATTTTGTTATGGCCCTATGCTCTTCCTAGGAGTTGAAAGACTTTATATATGCTTAATAAATCCGCCTCACAAATGCATTAAAATATATAAAAGTTAAAGACAATTTAAGCACTAAAATAAACATAAGATAAGTTATGAAAAAGTGCCAGGTGGCTGCACTAAATAAATCAAAGAAATAGATAAATACACATTTTAAAGTTAAAATATTGCTTATATATATTAAACAATTAAATTATAAATTTAACAAATTATCAAATAATTTATATTTAAATAAATAAATAAATAAACTGAAAATTGGGTGAAGTCTACTTATTGTAAAATATGGACCTGGAAGTCTAAAATAGATAACTACGAGTATAATTCAATTTCTTTAAGTAATTCATATAGTAATAGTAATGGTTATATGAGTAATAGTATAGCACAACATGGCAATGCAAAGCAGTTTAATCTTGGATTAATATATAGGGCTTAATGACCAACTATAGCGTAAAGTCACAGGTCTTAAAAAATATTTAACCGCAACTTATTTTCTTAATGCTTTTTAACATTTCCAATTAATCGTTGAAGTGCAAAAACCTATTACTTTTGATGGTTAATTATTAAAAATGATATACTTGATCGAAGCTCAAACTATTGTTTATTAAATTAATATTTATTATTATTA